CTCCACAGCCTCCCTGGGCAGCCTGGGCCAGGGCTCCGTCACCCTCAGAGGGAAGAAGTTCTTCCTCGGGTTCAGCTGGAGCTTCCTCTGCTTCAGTTTGTGCCCGTTGCCCCTTGTCCTCTTGCTGGGCACCACAGAAAACAGTTTGGCCCCGTCCTCCTGACCCCACCCTGCAGATATTTAGAGGCATTTCTAAGGTCCCCTCTCAGCCTTCTCTTCTCCAGGCTGAACAAGCCCAGCTCCCTCAGCCTCTCCTCGTAGAAGAGATGCTCCAGTCCCCTCCTCATCCTCGTAGCCCTCCTCTGGACTCTCTCCAGTAGCTCCTCATCTTTCTTGAGCTGGGGAGCCCAGAACTGGACACAGGACTGCAGCTGGGAAGATCTCTCGTGTCTCTGGAAAGTACCTGACCTCATCCGCCAGGCAGGAGAAACCTGTGTGCAGATGACCCTTTTCTCCTCCAATACATGGCGACAGCAGGAAACAGGGAGATTTATGTCTTTAAATAAATCATTTTTTCATTCAGGAGGGTGGAGCGGGGAGGAGTAGGTCAGCAATTCTTCAAAGTTCAGGCCAAAACAACTTGAAGCGTATTATTTCTAGAATAGCTGCAGGTTCCTTTTGGGCGATACGTGTCTTTGCAGGGGGGGGAAAAAATGCCATCGAGCCCTATGTGGCGATGCTGCTGCTGCCTCCGTCACCCTGTGCACACAGGTGTCAGCGGGATGGCACTGCTCCTCCGCCTGGTCCTGGGAGAGGGGCGGGGAAGGGACGGGCAGGACCCCCGAGAGCGGCGCTCCAGACCCCTGGCTGGACACAGGGCTGATTTTTCAGACTGGGGCCCAGAAGCGCGCGTAGGACGGTGCGTTGGGGATCAAGGCTCCCCTTTCCCCAGGTGACAGCAAGATTGTAGAGCAACCAGGCTTAAACTGTATGGAGAATACCAGATGGCGTGTTTGCTGAACCCACCCCCTCCTCGGTCCCGTTTCTTCTCTCCCATTGCCCCACCCATTCAGGGACTTTACTGACGGGTCACGCTGGAGAAGCAAGCAATAACCAGGCCGTCAGACCAAAGGGCACGCGACAGGAGCGTGTCACACGGTGACGCAGCCGCACGTGAGCTAGGACCGTTTATTAGAGCCGTATACGGAGGCGAAACAATTGCTACAGGGAAATGCAGGGCGGCAGAGAGGTGGTGCAAAATGCGTGATGGACAAATCCTGCTCCCCCTAAGGCCATGTACCCATCAGGAACTCTGGAAGCGGTGAATACGTTGTTTCTGCTGATCACCTTCTCAAAGCCCATCTGTTTCGGTTGCCAGTAAGGAAACGCTGGCCGTGGTTTTCAGACATGAGCGACTTAGGGAGATGAGACGCCTTGTGACCTTCTTCTGTTCAGAAAGTAACATCTCATTAACATCTTCGTAACTCAGAAAAAGGCAGGCAGCCACAATCAGCAGTTGTTTCTGAAAATCGTGCCTTCGTGACGACTGGGTTCTCAGGGGGTTGCCCGTCGCCCGTTGCGCCACACACGCTCAAGGTGGAGCTGCCCAGTCCCCTGCCGCGGACGCAGCTGGAAGGTCTCAGCCTGAAAGGCTTGCCAGGAGCAGAGCTGTTACTGCTTCCACCTGGAGTTCCCCTCATGGAGTTGCTTCTGAGGTTGTGCCTATAGTTCGGTTAAAGAACTGGTACAGCGGCCTGAAAAAAGCTAAGCAGCCCTCGTGCTGTCAAACCCTAACTTGCAAAGCTTTTGCATGCACGCCAGTTCCGTCACTAAGTGCATGGAGAATTCTCTGGCTAATGACAGTCTGCATTAGAGCTTTTGCCATCACCTGTTTCCAGGTAAGAGCTGCCACAGAACTGACCCGGGTGCCTTGCAGCCATTGCTAAGGCTTTCAGAGAGAGAACAGGCACTCTCGGGACACAGTCAGGGCTGTGCTCTTAAGGCACAGAGGCTGACTTCCAGGCTTCCGTATTCAGCTTTCTCAACCTCTCAGCATCTGAATTAAGGGCTAAAATGATGCAATTCTGACTTTTAGTAAGCACAGCATCTGCCAGGAGTTCAATTTTGTGAGTGAGCATTTGCGATGTAAACAATTTACATCAATAAGAGAGGCATCACGGCAAGCCATGGCGAGGTGGGGGGCGATTCCGGTTTCAGTCAAGCAGCGCTCCTTGTCAGGAGAGGCAATTGAGATCCCTGTTCTCTGGCACGATTTGTGTGGCCACGAGACACCTGCCAGCAGAGGCCAAGTTAAACTACCTGGTGAGAGCGAGTGCTGTCTTCCCAAACAGACAGCGGAGACGCGTGCTGCTGCAGCAATCCACCAGGGAGCAGGCAGGAAAGGGAAATTAAAGCTGACACACCATTAGAGTAAAGTGAGTCTGCAAGTGCTCCTGAAAGCCCATGGAAAAAAAAATGGGAATCAAGCAGAAGCTATTTCTAGGCAGAATTTGGGGATGAGAAGCAGAAATAGGCTTTTGCTAAGAACTAAATTCAAACCCTCCCAAGAATCCAAATTTAGCGTTTAACACTTCTCGTCTCTGCTTGCTTTGTGCCAGCTCACACGCGCTAAGCTGCAGCCTGATTGCAGAAACGGAAGGAAAAAAAAAAAGTCAGAAAAGCTTTCTCGCAGTTAGCTGAGATAGACCTAAGGAGCTCTGCCTGACTTCCAGCACAGGAGCGCTCGAGAATCTTGATGAAGTTGAAGACAGGCGGAGGGGCCCCGCACCTTTGGAGAATCAGCCCAGTTCTCTTCATAGATGACACTGCCTGATCTTGTTAACATCAGCCCTTGTCTTGGGTGCAGCTGACAGCATAAACTAGTGGGTGTTAAACTCATTCATTGTGATGAGGCAGCGAGAGGGAAAATAACTGGAGGAAAGCAGGGGAGCAGGAATTCTGCTATCTTAGCCAGTCAGGAACTGCTGGATATCTTCTGATATGTGCTGCTGAGGAGTTTCCACTGGCTGCCTTCTCCAGCTCTGCAAAGCCCTGCAAGCAAAGAAAGAGGTGGTGAGCACAGGAGCTGGGTGCCACACAAAGCACCGCGTTACAGAGGACAGTGGAGCAGGCGAACGTGCGGGAGTGGGATGAAACAGTCACGCTGCATTAAGGGGCCAGCAAGGCAGCCACGTACGCCGGGAGGCAGGTGCCCCTGCCCTCCTCCTCCTCTCTATCACGAGGCCGAGGGAGGAAAGGAGGCCGCTTTTTACAATCTGGGCGCAGCAGCAGGGTTTCTGGTTGCCACTGTGGTGACTCTTGCCCCATCCAGATAATCATAGAATAGAATCACAGAATCATTAAGGCTGGAAAAGACCTGTAAGATCATCAAGTCCAACCATCACCCCAGCACCCCCATGCCTGCTAAACCATGTCCTGAAATGCCACATCTAGATGGTTTTTGAACCCCTCCAGAGATGGGGACTCCACCACTGCCCTGGGCAGCCTGTTAATCAGACAAAACAAACCCATCTCCAGCCCGCTTCCTTGTTGATCTGTTGACCAAGCATGCAACTTTTTAGTTTTCCCAGTGGTTTCTGTCTCGAAGGATCTTTACGTAAAGCAGTAACTGCACTGCCACTGATGCGCTGCCTCCTCGCTGGAGGAACGTTACGGCTGCGAGCAGCACCCAGCCCCCTGCAGCAGGTTAGCTCGGGACACAGGGAGGAACTCTTTAATCACCTTGAGAGCGGACTGTCAACCTCGCAGGGATGTTTCTCTCATCACTCAAGCCAGCCCTCAGCTCGTCTGCCCCCGTGAAGCTAACACAGCCTGTTTATCACATTATGGTCAGAGATTCTGGCTCTAACTGAGACCCCTGGGATCAGCTCCAGCATGTTTCGAGCTAATTCTGCAACAAGGGTCACTGCTTCCCACTAAAAAGCCACAGGAAAATCCCTGTATGGGTCACTCGGTAAATGTGAGGGTTAAATGCTCTTCACTCGGTAAACTCCATGAGCTCTCTCATCCAGCCATTTATGTGGACGCTGGGAAGGGGCACTCACCTAGAAGAGTTTCTCGTAGCACTTGTCACAGTGGACAATGTCCCGGTGGATGAATATTTTATCCAGAAGGTCTCCCATTGCCTTGTGGCAAATTCCACACTGCAAAAGGGAAAACAAGGCGGTTGGACAGTAACCGAAGCGCCGTGCAGTAACGACAGCATGGAGGGGGCAGAGAAACAAACAGTCTCCGTATCGCTTTACAGAGGTGTGAGGATGCCCAAGCAGCAACCTCTGAGGCTAAACTTCCTACAGCAGACAAATGCCACTGCAGGCTTCCTCCTCCCACACTCCCTACGCTCCCTTGTAAACTTTGCAAGGTTTGAGAGATTCAGCGAGACCTGCACTGGGGCACAAAGGCCACGGAGCAGCAAGTCTGCCAATAGGACGGGGACAGGAAGAAGGAGGGTGCTGCTATTCTATCAGATGACAACACAGAATCCTCCTTGTTCTAATTATCTGAGGAGCTGAAAAACTTCCGGGGACACAACCAACACCTGTGACTATGACATTTTTTGTCCCGATGCAGACGCAAACTTTTGGCACACACTATATACGTTACTCTGAAAGCCTGAGCACAGAATTTCCACCAAGATTCCCCCTCCCACCACTCAATTTCACAGCAGCACACAGAAGGCAGTCAGTAGTTAAGGGCTGGGTTTTTTTTTTTACCCTGAAACAGTATTCGTGGCAGCAGATGTTAAGATGCTCTATTATGATCTTAGGGCAGTCTCGGATCTCACGGCCACAGTAGCTGCAAACGGGTTCACTGGCCCTGTGAAGGAACAAGAGTGCATGCCTCTGTAACAAGCTGATTCCAGTCTCAGCACTGGTACCAGAGGTTTCCTACCCAACACCAGCACCGCTCTCCATGAGCTACCTGCTTCTACATGTGCCTGACTGCGCCAAGTGACAGTACAGAGGGACCTGCGTTATCCCAGGCGTGCAGGGACCACAACCGCAGGGCCGTACAGATATTAATGTCACTGTATTTCCCAAAGATCATTTACACTTTGTGCTGTTCTTTCACCAAACACATACCAATATTCTAAAAAAGCAAAACCTTCGAGTCATTTCTGTGTAACAGTTTGCTGAAGCCCCTGAGGCAGCCCCAAAGTGTCGTACCTTGGCGGGGGAGCGCTGCACAGGTAGCTGTGGTGGCTGTAGTTTGCTCTCTCCAAATCGGTCAAATC